ACCGGTGATTATGTTTTGTGTGGGGGAGGGGGTACTAATTCCATGTGTCATTCTTAATCAAAGCAGTATATTCATCACACATAGTAGCATGCCAGTTCGGATCTTTGAGAGCACTACGGTATGTTGGAGGGAAGAGAGAGATAATGGGGGCGGAGGTGTTTAGATTTAGGATTTGTTTGGGGAAAAAGACACCAGTTTTGGATCGGGTTTGCATGGGGTGGACGTTGGGCGGGGAGGGGGGTGAGGCTACCGTGGGCTGGGGTTCGGATTCGAGTATGTGATGCGGGTCTGGACTGGGTTGTGGGCTGGGTTGGGCTTGTCGGGAGGGGGAAGTGGGATGCACAGAGGGGGTGGGCCGGGTGGCATGGGATGGCGGGCTGGGCAGATGTGGCTGGCTCCGATACTAGAAAAGATATTTTCCTTGAATAATTATGAAGAGATTACATTAATATATACTAGAGGCTTCAATCCTAATCATAGTAGGAGAGCCACATTATGAAGTCTATACACGTATGGTAACATAATAATTACAAAGATATTAAATATAATTAATATATTTAGAAAGGAGGCACTCATCCGCATCAGTACAACCTGACATCTACGCGGCATTATGGAAGGTGCCTAGATGGATATCCGGGTCCTCTTTCCCGATAAACTTCTCTAGAACAAGCTTGATCTTCTTCCTCAACCTTTGTGCATGGATCTGTGGGGTAAAAGGAGATCTTGCAAGGGTATGCTTCTTCCTTCCACTCTTCTCATCAACTTTGTCCTCCAGAACCTGCAATTTTCGCACCATGCTCATGATCTTCATATGAGAGTCGGGTATAGGCTGATTGCCTAGGCTGGCTTTCGGCTTCATCTTCCTCTAGGTGGATCGCCTTCGAATCCCTGGAAATGTCGTGACGGAGTAGGGTGTCTGTCCCTTCCCCCCGCTAAGCCAATCAAATGCGTTAGCCCGAGCCGTCTCAGGCCCAAGACGTAGCTTGACTGACTTACGGGGTCCGTCCTCCTTGTCTCCCAATCGTTTGAATGTCGAATCTCGAGTCTTACTTGGCTTGGCGATAACCTTCCCCTTCCACTAGCGTGCTTCCTCCGGGTCTGCAACATCACAGCCTTTAGAGGTGCGTGGGGTATTCGAAGATCCAACTCCATATATGGTCGTAGCCAAATTTATGAGATGCACGGAATTGACCATCATTGGTACGAAAGTTGATGGGGTAGCTCATCCTTGGAGGAAACATGCCAGGGCATGCAAATGACATATAGCCCCCAACTTGTTGCATCATGGTCATCACCTGATGATACCCTTGCAAGGCTTACGCGTTTGCTAGATCAGCGGCAAATCGAGCCAAACTTGGTGGGCACAGTATAGGCAGTGTCACATCCCTCAATGTGGATAGTGATCTTGGGAATATCATGGTCATTGTAGGCATCGGAATTGGGTTTGACATGATCGGATTTATCCCTAGGGATCCAACATATGTGACTCGAGCAAAAGTTAGGCCCACGCTCATCATTGTCACTGGAGTGGTGGGTGTGTAGGATCCTGAAACAATTAGGCCGCAAACAATTGGGTGAGTACTAGAAGACATGTTGTGGATACTTTCGTGGGGTGAGAAAAAGTGACCAGTTGACTTTTTCACAAGTCAAGTCCCACAGATGGCGCCAAATGATGGTGTAAATTTAACCAGGTAAGTTTGACCAGGAAAGAAATCTTGCGCCCAAAGTAAGCCAAACACACCAGAAAGCTAGTAAGAACACACAAGATAACCTGGACCAGGAAAGAATTCTTACGCCCAAAGCTGTATTTCTTACTTTGTCTTAAGAGTGTACAAATGTGTGTATGAATGAATGTCTCTCCTTCACCTCTTACAACCTATTTATATAGGGTGGAGGAGGTCAATTAAGGTAACAAGCCCTTCCTCGGGCGTAGACTTAGCTTCAATCAGTATCCACGTAAGGAAATATCCCCTTAACCCACTGCTCGCTGGCCTAACCATTGATGGACGCCAATCTCACCCTTATTTATGTTGTCTAGCGGTTTCGCACGATTCTCGCTCCGTCATTAAGTCCCGAAGATGGTGGGGTAGTACAATGAAATGCCTCTACGTGTGCCCTCGCCTAGCATCGTGTTCTTTAGTTAAACTCGTAGAATCTGACTGTGCGAATATGACAAGTTAATCCCTTGATCTGCCTTCAGTAACAGCCCTGTAAGAAAATGACCTTGCCGAAGACATGACCGATCACTTTACAGGAAAGAGGTGAATGTTCAATTCCAAAACGTTCTACGCTTCTTGGAATGCCACTTAATTTGTTGACCGGTCACACTTGACCTGTCACTTTGCACCGGGCCGAGCCGGATATTGGTTATATCTATCAAGTATGATGTATAGATTATTAGTAAAAAAACTATGATGTGATAGGTGAGTTAAAAATTAATAAGGGTAAACGTAATTTTTTAATAGAAATGAGAAGTATTTTGAGGAACAAGTAAAAAAAGAAAGGGGAAAGAGTTTTTGGAAGGGTAATTTACCTAAATAGAACTAAAACATAATGACCTTTTCAATATAAGACCATATGTTTTTATTTCCCAATGTAGGACCATTGGTTATTATTTATTAGTCATTATTCAACTAAATGTCCAGCATCACTTGGACATTATTTTTCTCACTAAACATTATTAAATCCTATTTAGGAAATAAAAAAGTTTAAGTCATATATTGGAAAATGACTTATGTTTTAGTTCTATTTGGTGCAAATTTCACTTTTTGGAATGGAGGGAATATGAAAGAAAACAATCATATTAATGCTGGAAGATAAATCATTTTTTTCGATTATCTAAACTAATATGGGAGAAGGAAGATCATAAAAGTTGCCTATATATTACACTTGGATTTTTGAATGTAAAAAATGTTTGTGAATCTTTAAACCACAAAGTAATTTTAATTTGAAGAAAGTTGTACTCATTATTTTATGAAAAATGCTAGGGGTACACATTTGGTACACCAAAGGTGTACCCCATATGTCTCACACCCCCTCCTTGTCTACATAAATTGGCCAGAAATTCAAAAAAATTAATAAATAAAAATTAAATAAAAATGAGTGGTGGAGAAGGGGGTAGTGTACATTTAGGGTACACCACCAAAGGTGTACCCCTAGCATTGCTCTTATTTTATTGATGAACATTGGTCAACTATATAAAATGTGTAATAGTATAAGGTTGGGAAACAAAACCATAGAGAATGTTTACATAACTTAAATTAAATAAACATAATCATGTATTATTTTCATAGAGGATTACACTTGAACTTTCAAAGAATATAATTTTTAATAGTTTATGTTTTGTTATGATTATAAATAAAGTTAGTGAAAAATATTGTCATTTATAAGGTTATTTTTTACAAGTCGTTATTCACTTGCGATTAATTTTATAAAATTCTTTTTCAAGTGAGAGTAAAGTAAGGTTGAAAGTATTAGTTTAAATGTCTTTGATAATCTTTATATTATCGCAAAAAGTGTTGTATACCTCAATTTTTTTTAAATGGTTTAATTTAAAAAAATTGATATTTAAATTTCAAATGTATATTGTTGAAATATTATCAGCAAATATTATTTGTCTTGTCATTATTTACTTTTTAAGATTGATGTTATATTTTGTTTGTTATTTGAAAAATACTATAGGAAAGAAAAATACTATAGGAAAAAATCATTTCCCCCCATTGAACATTTTAAAATGCTACTCTCTCCATCCCATAATGTTTACCATATTTTTTTTCAACAATTACGAAATTTTTGTTTATTTGTATATTTTTATTGATTATTTGATAAATTAAAATATTTTTGACACCTCCTATTTCGAAAAATTATTCATGTAGTTTTTTAAATATGTAAATTTTATTTTTTATTTTGACACCTCCTATTTCAAAAAATTTTTTATTCTTTATTTCTGCGTGGCAGTGTACTGCCAGGGTAGGGAGGGGGGCTGGGGTGGAGGGGCAAGGGTGGGGCTGGGGTGGGGGGTTTAGTGTGAGGATTAGGGGGGTTAGAAATCGTCGTTTTTACAAACAGAACATCGTAGGTACCCTTAACGAACTGGTATAAGTAACTAGTATATAAGTAACTTGTATCATTTTATACATTCCCATTTGGGGATATTAAAAAAAGGATGAGTCAAGGGTTTCCTCATATTCGACTAAACAATCACTCTGTATTAAAAAAGAGCTAAGTCCTTAAATTTTGGATTATGCTATGTGTACCCCAAGTTTTGTACCTCAATTTGTACCCCGCAGTTTTGCACCAACACTTTGTGTTGGTGTAAAACCAATTTTTGTTAAACGCACCAACATTTGTGTCCGTGTGAATTTTTATAAACGCACCAATACTTGTGTCGGTGTAAACCATCGAAATATTTATACAAACTTGTAGTGTACAAATGGGGTATATTTTTTGGTGTAAGTATAGCATGATCCTTAAATTTTTGATGTGGCAGAAAATAGAGATTTTTACCAATAGTTGTAGATGCCCTCCTATTTAGGGATATTGAAGTAGTAGAGTTGCCCGACCCACACACGCACAGTAGGCAGCCACTGCGGTGGTGCCACGTAATCCACCATCCCCACACGGAAGCGAAGCCCGATGACAACTGGGCCCATCTTGTCTTCGCTGATCAAGACCGCTTAAACACCCTTTTGTCCGCTATATTTTCACCGCTACCGGCCGCTCATTCCTCCCGCACCGCCGTCCCACCCTCCAACGGCAACGTACAACCCCCCCCCACAGCCTCCCCTTTCTCGTTTTTTCTTTTCCCGTTTTTTACCCGCAATTATTACCGCACGCCTTCCGTTAAATCCCGTCACGTCCGGCTATATATAAATATATATACTCCGTATATATCTCCCAACTGCGGCCCGATAAGTTCTCCTCTTTGTCTCCATTCCTTTTCTTCTTTCTCTCCATATATAAACACTTCACCTGTTTTGCCATTTATATATATCCTAACCACGCAAGGGTTCCCGAAACCAACGCCGTGATATTCTGCGACGGCCGGAAAACTTAATGCGAGTGATTTCCGCCGATCGGAAATCCGATCCGGTCAGAGTGCCGGCGTTCTAGCGCGCGCCTCGTCATTCCCCGGCCGCCGTGTAAGTGGTTTAACTCCGGCCTTTTTTTATTGCTGTAGATGTTTGTTTGTTTGTTTGTTTGTTCCGGTGGGGGAACATTCGTACGCACTGGTCGCTGTCGAGGTGGTTGTACTGGGAAGGTTTGTGTCTGTTTGTCCGACGAGTAATGGGCGGTCGGACAAAGTGGACTTCCGCGGAATTCATTGTATTATTAGTAGCAATGGGTGCAATAATTAGATCGGCATCATATCCAGGCTGTCTAATCCAAATTCCGAATCGAACTTTGGATTGTTCTTATGATTATAAATGATGAATCCATCAGACGTTTCACTAATTAGAAATCCGTACGATGTTCCCTGTTTTTTTCAAAAATACACTTCTATTGAATGTTCCGATCGAGCCGCCGATGAAGAAATTCGTCGGCGTCGGAACCTCTCTGTTTTTTTCTTCCTTCTTAAGCTCATTTCGGTGATTCCTTCTTCAATTCTTCCGATCATGTTTTTGGTTTTGAGGTTTTCCGGATTTGATTATGGTTAGGTTTGTTTAGGTTGCCGATTCATTCATTATACATACGGAGTACTTTATTTTTCTTTAATGAAAAAAAAGGACAGGAATTCTTAAAGAAGAACAACAAGACGGCCATACTTTAAATGCTCAGAGCCGTACGCATTGTGTGATGCGTTTTTTTTTTTTTTTGCTTTATACACATTTGTGAATATGCTTGGACTATTTACAGAACCGATTAATTTATGAAATGAAGTATGATAAATTATAACAGTAATTGTTTTTTGTTTTTTGAAACTTTTGTTTTTTTGTTATGCAGAGAAGGAGAGAGAGAAGGAGGGGGGGAGATGTTGACGTGTATCACGTGTAAGCCAAAGATAGAGGACGGTGACGGAGGGGAGGAGGGCCCACGTGGGACGCCCGGTTCGAAGGACTCCGTCAAAAGCCTGACGGCGCAGGTTCGAATCCCATCTCTACTGTTTTTTTTTCTGTTTTGGATTACTGTTTCTGTGTGCGCATCAGCGTCAGCTGCAGAGATGCATGGAAACGGGGCTGCGACCCTACGCACACTAGCATTTCTTCACTGTCTTTTTCTTTCTTTCTTTTTTTTTTAAATTTTCTTTTTCTTTATCCCTTGCTTGTGAAATTGTTCGTGTCACTTTTTATCTGTATTTGCTCCGTGCGGGCCCCGCTCTCCCACCCCCTTTCTTGGCCCCACCTTCTTATTCTAAGATTCATTACAAATGCAATTTTCAGTTTTTTGGTCTTTGGTTTCAAAATGTTTTTGCAACCAATAACTTACTATTTGTAAAACTTTACTCCCTACTATATTTAATATATCACATTTTAAATTCTTCTATTTCAAATGAGTATTATATTTACATGCTGTATTAGTTCTCCTTCCATTTCAAAATACACTCTATTTTTTCTTCATTGTATATTTTCCATTGATGATTTCCCTAAATATTATGGTTATTTCATTTTTTGTTTTTTGTAAAACTTTTTTTATAGTTTTAAATATATAATTTTATTTTATGTATTCTTACACAAATATTCAAATAAATTGAATTTCAAAAAACAAAATCAAGTTAACATACAATGATAACTTCAACTGTTTATTTATTTTGTGACGGATATACACTTTCTTTCTCCCGAAATTAGTTCCGCAGTTCTTTTACACTTATTACTAAAATTTATGTAATTGAAAAAATTCATAATTTATTTTGGAAGGAAGGATGTATTTTATGAGAAACGATCCAAAATATAATATGGTGTTTTAAAATAATGAAGACTATTATTTTTTTTAAAATATTCATTACAGTCATTAAAGTGTATATAAATTTTTAACTTTTGCCAAGTAAAATAAAAAAACTTGAGGCACTAAAAAAATAAATTTCTCTAATTTTAAAACGGCAAAAAACATACTCCTTTCGTCATGAAACGTTCTTCTCGTTTCTGTTTACAAGGTTTGATCGACTTTATTTTCAATTCATTTTATTTGATTGTAAGTATAAAATTAAAGAATAAAATATATCTATTTTAAAATTACATCAAACTTCTACAAAATAAAAGTTGACAATACTATATTATTTTATCAAATAAGTAACGAAAATATGTAAAGAAAATGATCAAAGTTCGATCGTGTGTATAGTAACTGGGAAAAATATTTTAAGACTAAGTAGATAACTAACATCAGCTTCATAGCAGTGGGAGGGGAAATAACATGAGTTGATTAATTTTTAATATAGAGAAACTATAAGTAGAATTTAGTATTAATTTTACATGGTTGAAAATAAACATATTTAACCCTTAATTATAAGTACATAATTTAAAAATTTTAAGACTTCATGCCCTGTCCAAGGGATCATCAATAATAAAAGGGCAGAAGATCATTTGAAAATTTGTAATTTTATTCTCTTAAAAGAAAAAGGGATGTGTCTATGTAGTACCCCGTAAATTGGATCGGGCAAGATAGATGAGGGACCATATTGATATACGTTTGTCGACAGACTAAATTATTGTGTGAACAAATTGGGGTTAAAACTGTAACAATCAAGTGGGCCCAAACGAAATTGGGTCATCTGTCTTGAGCCTTGGGCTAAATAAAAAAAAAAGAACTGTTGTACGGATTACATTCAGTTAATAATCTCTTCTCCCTTTTTGGTGGTCCATTGCTCTCACTCGCATCTTTANCCCCCCCCCCCCTTCTGTCTTTTACATCTTCCCATAAATGCCAAGTTTTGAATGGCTCTGCTCTCTTTTCTGTGTCTTGTTGCATGCCTTCTGACATGTACAAACAAATGCTAGTTGCCCCTGTTTTAAAAATAAGTTGGTGTTTTTTTCAATGTTTGTTAGTCTTTAATTGGTCTTTTGAATTGACATGTTTTGAGGAAAGCTAGAAATTCTGAATAAAGAACTTATTAATTCTTGGTTTTTCTTTCTTATCATAATTTTTTTTTTCCTCGTAAAAGTGTCGAAAACTCAAGACAAATCATCTAATCAGTAAACTGTATCGAATATGTGGAAAAGTCCGATTATATCGGTATTTTATATAAGTGTAAATTGTTCATCATTGACATCACAAATGTCACAATTTTAGTGACGATTGAGGACATGTAAACTCCCAATATAAATGTAGTGCAAATGTTTGGTACATTTAATTTGACTACACCAACAGATATATTGCCATAAGCATAGTCTATTGTTGTGTTTGCATTGATGGAATTGAAAGAAAGTATATTGATTGTAGATAAAAGACATAGCATTGAAGGTGTCTGGGGCATACAAGTGCAAGCCAGGCACACCAAGCAGCAGCAGCACTGCATACAGGAAAGGGAGGGCATACCCAGAACTGGACACCATCTCAGAGGGGGTCCCACACCCTTTCCATCCCTCTGGTTCCACCAGCTCCACCCCAGCCTGGGATTACACCAAAACCAGCAGTTTTCACAACAACCCTTCCAAGTTTTCGGCTTCTGAGGTTGGGGTTGAGGACGAGAACGAACACAAGGAGTGGATTGCCCAGGTCGAACCCGGCGTTCAGATCACTTTCCTCTCCCTCCCTTCTGGAGGAAACGATCTCAAGCGAATCCGTTTCAGGTGCGATTGTATACACAGCCGCTAGCAGCTAATGAATCAAACAACATTATTGATGTTTTGTTAAGACGTGTACTATGTTTTGTGATGTCTGGTTGCAGCCGGGACATGTTTGACAAGTGGCAAGCACAGAGGTGGTGGGGAGAGAATTTCGACAGGATCATGGAGCTATACAATGTCCAGAGGTTCAATCAGCAGGCGCTGGAAACGCCTGCTCGTACCGAGGATGGGGTAAGTATATAAGGGTGCGCAATGTCCAAAAGAAAATGTCCACATATATATTTGTTTTAGTGGTTTATGATTGAATTGTGGCGTGGGACTGCAGAGAGACTCGACGTATTCTCGGCTGAGGGAGAGCCCAATGATGATGACAGCAGCACAGAGGAACTACTACTATAACAACAAACAAGGGGGAGGAGGAATGGGGGAAGGGCCAAGAACAACGACCGACTCAAGAGAGGAAGCTTCCATATCCATAAGCAACGCGAGCGAGATGTCCTCAGAGTGGATTGAAGAAGATGAGCCCGGGGTTTATGTCACCATTAGACAGCTTGCTGATGGCACTCGCGAGCTTCGTCGCGTCCGGTTCAGGTAAATCAACCATTATTATTATTATGAAGCATATACGACGTAAAGTGGTAACTATAAAGCATATATATATGAATATATGATCCTAGCTAATCATTTGCTCGTTCGCTCTTTATTTTGGCAGTCGAGAGAAATTTGGAGAGGTGAATGCAAAGATGTGGTGGGAACAGAACAGGGATAGGATACAAGAAACATACCTTTAGCTTATTATTATTATTAGCTAGTAGGAACACTACTTTTTTTAAAAAATACTATTTTATGTTTTAAAAAAGAAGAAGTTTTTGACTAAGTAGTTCTATGACACATTTGGCACACTATATATAGTATTTTTTTATATAAAAAAAATGAAATTTGTCTATGAGGAATGGCTAGCTAAGCAGCATTCAGATAGAGCAGATCAAGTGAAGCTAATTAAGACAGTCAAGGAATGGTGGAGTGGAGTGGAATGGGCAGGATGTCTGCCCAATTTGGTCTTAAATTTGTAGCTTAATTAGCTTTGTTAATTATGCATTTATGTTGTCATTTGACTGCGCCGCCATATGAAACAAGTAGCTATAGCTATAGCTAGCTAGCAGACTACTTACGTACATGTAATTAATTACTTGTTGATGATTTTTAAGAAAAAAAAACTCACTTATATTAATTATAGCATTGTCTGTTTTATGCTATATATATCTTTGTTTGTAACAACACTTGTGACTTGATGAGAAACCGAATCCAATCTCCCTACTACATATACTCTTTGCAAACAAACTACGGAGTAGTTTTTTTGTCTTGTTTGGTTATATTTTGTTATATATGTCTTTCTTCTTCCAAATAATTATGCAAGCTAAGGTCGTTGTCTGTGTCCATATTACTCTTCAATTCCGATTTGAAAATGAGTTCAAAATTGTTTTTTTTTGTTTAATTTGACACATGCACTTGAAACCGTTTGTGGGCCTAGACAAATGAAGCATGAATCTAGAGTTTTTATAATTTCTTTTAGATATTTGATTTTTTTTATTAAAGTTACTCAACATATCATTTCAGAGCTTCTTTGGAGGATTTACACTATGTTTGGTTCAAGGAATTTGAAAAGAAAAAGAAAAGAAAATGAATTGGAAAACAGCTTTTCATGTTTGATTGGAGAGGAAAAGTGGAAGGAAAAGAAAATGAGAAGCTAAATGTATTAAGTGGAGAGAAAACCAAATTCCTCCCATTTTGGTGAGGAAAATGAGAGAAAATCATTTTCTTTTCTTTTCCTTCCAAAATTCTTAAACCAAACATAGTGTCAAGGGTCCTAGACGAAACCAAAAAAAAAGGTCTTTAGTCCTAACAAATTAAATTATGATTGGTCTTTAGTCCTAATAATTGGTTTCTCAGCCGTGGCACGTGGAGGTTCTCCATCTGCATTGATGATTTAAACTCGTCGACTTTTCAATCTGGGTTCTAAGTTCTAACTGTTAAACTATTACAGAGTAAATATTACTCTAGCGGTCCTAATATACTTATTTGTTTTAACTTGATTATTAAATTCTAACTGTTAAACTATTTGTTTTAACTCTAGCCGTCCTAGTATACTTATTTGTTTTAACAAGGATACTGAGGAGAAAGGCGGTGTTAATACACTGTTCCGGCTTGTTAAGGTGCGTGAGAGGAAGGCCCGATATCTGGACCACGTGAGATGTGTGAAGGGGAGCAATGGTAGAGTGTTAGTTGAGACTGCCAAAGTGGCTAATTATAAGCGCTGGGGGGAGTACTTTTGTGAACTCTTAAATGCGGGAGGAGACCAGAGGCTAGTTCTTGATGAGCTGGGGCAGTCCGGGGCGTCTCGGGTGTATTGTCGACGCATTTGCCTAAGAGAGGTGGTTCGGGCTCTTCGAGGGATGCGTAGTGGGAGAGCTTTGGGACCAGATGAGATTCCGGTGGAGTTTTGGAAGCATGCGGGTTGTGGTGCGTGGGTTTGGTTAACCAAACTCTTCAATGTTATCTTTCGGACAACAAGGATGCCTGATGAGTGGAGGGAGAGTCTCTTGGTCCCCTTGTTTAAAGGTAAAGATGACATTCAGAGCTGCGAGATATACAGAGGCATCAAACTCCTTAGCCACACCATGAAGGTTTGGGAGCGAGTCATTGAGTATAGGGTGCGGAAAGGGGTATGCATCTCTGAGAACCAGTTTGGTTTCATGCCTGACAGATCGACTGCAGAGGCCATTCACCTCGTGAGGAGGTTAATGGAAGAGTATAGGGCTAGGAAGAAGGACCTTCATATGTTGTTTATTGATCTTGGGAAGGCGTACGATAGGGTGCCAAGGGAGGTCTTATGGAGGTGCCTAGAGACGAGAAGAGTTCCCATCGCGTACACTCGCGAGATCAAGGATATGTACAATGGGGCTATGACTAGGGTAAGGACCTCCGGGGGCGACTCTGAGTCATTCTCGGTAGGGATGGGGTTGCACCAGGGATTTGCCCTTAGCCTTTTTTTGTTCGCTTTGGTGATGGACGTCCCGACTCAAGGTGTTCAAGAAGGGGTCCCATGGTGCATGCTTTTCGTGGATGATATCGTGCTTATCGACGACACACGTGAGGGACTAAACGATAAGTTGGAACGATGGCGTCTTGCCCTTGAGATTAAAGGATTCAGAATAAGTAGGAACAAGACTAAATACATGGAATGTCATTTTAGCGGCCGGGAAACAGAATCAGAAGTGGAAGTTAGGATTGACTCTCACGTAGTACCTAAGGTAAACAGGTTCCGATACCTTGGCCCGGTAATCCAGGCGGATGAGGAGTTAGACGGGGATGTTGGACATCGTGTTGGAGTGGCTTGGGCCAAATGGCGGTTGGCCTCAGGGGTGTTGTGTGACCCAAAGATTTCACCCAGGATGAAAGGTAAATTCTACCGATCTATAGTCAGACCTGCTATGTTATACGGGGTAGAGTGTTGGGCGGTTAAGAAGAGTCATGTGCTTCGTTTGCATGCGACGGAGATGCAGATGTTACGATGGAAGTGTGGGAAGACAAGGTTGGATAGGATTTCGAATGAAGTTATTCGACGTCAGGTAGGTATGGTGCCGGTGGAAGATAAGTTGTGGGAAGCGAGGTTGAGATGGTTTGGCATGTGAGACGGCGGGATGCTGATGCCCCTGTACAGAGGTGCGAGAGGATCACGGTTATCGGGGGAAGTAGGGGAAGGGGACCTAGGAAGAATTGGAAGGAGGTGATTAGGCAGGATTTAGGACTTCTCACCCTGGCTGAGGATATGGCTTTGGATAGGAACCTTTGGCGGACTAGGATTAAAGTAGCTGGTTAGGAGCTCGATGCTGCAGAGATTTTTTGTAGTGTGTTGTGTTTGATTGGAATCTTCTACTTTTGCTTGCTTGATTTTCATTTCATTGTACTTGGTGCTTTATCCTGTTATATCCTGTTACCCTGTTATATTATGTTCCCTACCATATTTTTTGTGCAGGTTGAGCTGGGGGTCTCTTGGAAACAGCCTTCCTACTTCCGAGTAGGGGCAAGGTCTGCATACACACACCCTCCCCAGACCCTACTGTAGTGGGATTCAACTGGGTTGTTGTTGTTGATTATTAAATATTTTTGTCGCCTCCTGTTTTGTACTACCTCTGTCCCAAATTATAATGCATGTTCACTATTCACAGGGTCAAACTTCATTCACTTTCTTTCGATATTTTCGTTAGCAATTTGATAAAATAAAATATTATTGTTACTACTACTTTTGTAGATCTTTTGATGTAGTTTTTTAATATGTAATTTTTATTTTCTAATTTTATACCATTTGTCATATAAAATGGTATGAAAATAATTTCAGTCAAACATCGTAAACCGAAACAGACGTTATAAAATAGGACGGAGGGAGTAGAACTTTTGACGTAGTTTTTAATATATAATTTTTATTTTTTATCGATATACCGATTTGTAAATAAAATGATTTCGAAAAGGGAGATATTTCTTCTCATAAATATTTCTTCTTTCATTTTTTTCAATGAGGCGGTCCATACCTATAGCAATGGCCGCACTTGCCCCCAATCATTTTTTAAAAAATAATAATTAGTAGTGTTATTACCTTTTTGTAAAATAATATTCCATCCGTTTTAAAAAATATTTCTTCTTTCATTTTTTTTCACTTCGAACAAAAAACACTTTCATTTTCTATTAAAAATTCACTTTTACCCTTACTTTTTTATATCCTACCTATCACATCATACTTTTTCTTTAATAATTTATTCATCACATCTTATTTTTACCCATTGCATCAAGGGCAAAATTAGCAAGAAGACAACTATAATTTAACACTTCTTTATTTTTACACTTGGTTAAAATACGAACTTTTTTTGAGGACGGAGGGAGTACTCTATATTAATAATGCTTCCATAAAAATATTTGTATGCCCCCATTAAAAAATAGGATGCCCCCATTAACTTTTCTCATTCTGCATTTACTTAAAAAAAGATCAATATTGGCGTGAGAATGTGAGATACTCCATCCGTCCCAAATTACTTGTCACATTTTTATTACTGAGGCAAAATATCAAATTTTTTCAATTCATTTTATTTACATATTGGTAAAAAAAAAAAATTACATATCAAAAAACTACATGAAAAGTTCTTTGAAATAAGAGGTGTCAAAAATATTTTATTTTATCAAATAACCAATGAAAACGTAGAAATAAACAAAAGTTCGCGCGATGTTGAAAAAAAGCAAATGTGACAAATAATTTGGGACAGATGAAGTATTAGAAGATGGAAATTGAATTCCTTTGAGATTTGATTTAGTATCTTTGCTAGTTTACTTAATTCTTGTTTTAGTAAAAAAAAATTCCTTATTTGCTTTATCTTCTTACTATATTAAGAGGGCTAGATTTATGTATTTACAAGACAACTCAATGCATAAATATTTGCCCTTTATTATTTTCTACATGGTATCGGAGGAAGTTTTTAATTCTTAAGATCTCAAGCACGCTTTTTCCCTTGCCGGTGGGCATACACAACTCAATGCCTACCGGTGGGATATTGTAATTTTTTATTTTCTTTCAGGTCCCGTTTGGTACATGGAATTCAAACTATGGAATTGGAATTGGAGACTTCAATTCCAATTCTGGTGTTTGGTAGCACAACAATTATGTGGATTTGGAATTGATATTCCAAAAACTGAATTGAAATTGACAGAATTCAATTCTATGGAATTGAATCCCATGGAATTTCAATTCCAATTCAATTCTAATTCCACCAATTCCTTATACCAAACGAACCCTGATGGTTCTCCTCACTAAAAGATCTCATGAATTGCTTCAACGGGGAACATTGCTGCCAATGAATCCCAACCATCAATCTTGAAGAGGTTGTCCGACAAGGGTTGTTCTATTGAGACAGACAGCTCTTTCCTTTGCAGGCAATAAAGAAAAAAATCAGCGCTCAAGGTGTTCGAAAAGAATGAGGTTCTCCCTGTTCGTTAGAACTCGGTGTAGGTTCGAAAAGAATGACATTCCTTTACTCAACGGCGGATTCGAAAAGAGTGGCGTCTCCGTCAAAGAAAAAGAAAATTTATTTGTTGAAGTGTTTAGATGACACTTGCACAAAGATAGTTTGATTATGTCTTGTCCAAGCTGGGCACTCGGAACCCCATGCTCTAACTTGAGGGGGGTGTTGGCGTGATATATTAGAAGAAGGAAATTGAATCTCTTTGGGATTCGGTTTATTAGTATCTTTTCTAGTGTATTTAATTCTTGTTTTACTAGGAATAAAATATGTTTATTCGCTTTGTCCTCTTACTATATAAAGATGGCTAGATCTTTGTATTTACAAGATAATTTAATACAGAAATATTTTCATTTTATTATTTTCTACAACCAAAGTATTTTACATTTTTAACTAAAAACTAGTTGTAGTAATTTATTTGTGTATAATTTTATTTTAAATGTCGTTTATTTAAATTACTTATAAATTATGTGTACTAATTCATAATATTGAGATAAAATTTAACACTATTTTTGATGTTTAACATTCTATTTCGGGGAAAAATATATCCAAGCCGCTGCCTCCGAACCCTGTCTTATTCTTGCTCCCAACCCTCCAATCTCCTGGATCCCCCACTGATATTATATATTGTTATAAGAGAAATTTACCTAAATAGGACTAAAACATAATGACTTTCCCAATATAGGACCATATGTTTTTATTTCCCAATGTAGGACTTTTGATCATTAACAAGTAGTCATTATTCAAGTAAATGTCCATCATTACTGGACATTATTCTTCTCACTAGGACATTATTAAGTCCTATTTAGGGAATAAAAAAGTTTAAGTCCTACATTGGGAAAAATCATTATGTTTTAGTCCTATTTAGTGCAAATTTTACTTGTCTTGTTATAACGGTGAGGTTCTAGTGACACTGGAGTATGGTGCCACTCCGGTGCTACTCGCATTTTAGGGCACCTCCGGTGCTCCGTTCGCAAAATTGACGGTTCCTACCTCCCCTAACCCACCCCCTAAAGCCACCACCCTACCCCCGCCCCTGCACCCCCCATCCCAACCCCGCTGTAAGCCTCCCACAAAATGTGTGGCTTACGGCGGGGTTGGGGTGGGGGTGCAGGGGCGGGGGTAGGGTTGGGGGTTTAAGGGGTGGGTTGGGGAAGGTAGCAACCATGAATTTTGCGAACGGAGCACCGGTGGTGCCCTAAAATGCGAGTGGCACTGGAGTGGCACCGTACTCCAGTGTCACTAGAACCTCACCGTTGTTATAAAATTAATTTTATTTAATTTATCTTGTTGAGACTTGAGAGTTTTTAAAAATTTATTTTGTTTATTCGGTGTATTAATATGCAATACAATACTCCGTACATGATATGGGAATTTACTTAAATAGCACTAAAACATTATAACTTTCTCTAAATAGCATAATAAATGTTTGTTTCCGAATGTAGCTTAAAACCAAATTCTTCAATATTGATTTTAAAGGCTCAACTAGAAAATCACCATTTTAGATCCGAGTAGACCAATGTTATTAGAATCGGACCGGACCAGTCAATCGGACGCGAACCGGTGAGCCCTCCCGTCCGATTCTATTGTAAAAATTGGATATGCATCAACCCGTTCAAACCCGGTATTAAGGATACCAAATAAATATCATTTATTTTTGTTTATATTTATCCTTTGTATAGTATTATATGTGTAGTATAGCTCTTGTAGTTATCTCTTCTTAATGATGAGCGCCAAACTCCTAGAGAATAGGATCGACATCTGCTATGTGTGTATATATGTTTGCTTCATCAATGATTTCAATATGTTTGATCAATACTTCCATATGGTATCAGAGCATCATTAGGTTTTTTTTCCTAATATTCGATCCTCTCATCTCTCTCATCGGCTCTAGCCTGCTACTCTGCAGCACTATCCTCATGCGGTAGACCCTGTAGAACCGGTGGACCGGGTCGACCTGATCGACTCTCGGGTTTGGTCCGAAGGTTTTTTTTTTAATTTTTTTGTCTATAAAATAAAATTATGAAGATAAGAATATAAGATACAAATACTAAACCTCACCATACAACTCTCTAAGAACCTAAACACTTAAGCTGCTAGACACTTGTTACCAAAATCATGCAGGATATTAAAAAAACTTCTAACTATTTGTGAAAAAGAACATGTTTGTGTTTTGTAGTTATTTTATAAAATTTTAAAAACGTTCAAAGTAAAAAATAAATATTACTTTTTGTATTAAATAAAAATGAATAATTTACATCTAAACAAATATTATCATCTATAAAATGAAGAAATATATACTAATTATAATAAAATATGAAAAGTGTGTAAGAGTATATGAACAATGTCATTGAAAATAACATCGAGAAGAAAAAAACACAATATTAAATATTTTATTTAATTCTGAGAATGACATTTATATATTTCCTTAATATGTGTGTCCGGTTCAAATGGGTAGATTAAAGTTAGATGAAGGGAGTATGTGCTTTGCATTATTTAGAAATAATTGGTATTTAAGTTACGGTAAGTCTAAAATGACACATGTGCTACTGGTGTCATTTGTTTACACCAATTCGTTTGGTTACCTACGGTGCTCCGTTTATAAAAATGACGGTTCCTACTGTTGGAATTTTTGGCATTTTTAATAGGCATTAAATGGACCAACTTGGGTATATTTGTCAATAGGTCCACTAACGATTTTAACCGTTAATTAATGGACGTGTATTCTCTTAAAAGAGATAAATGTTTTGATAATTTATACGCCAAAAATGGTAGAGGGTGAATGAGAAATTGATTCTCAGAGTTAACCCGTTAATAAAAGAATATGCTAAGGATTGCAATTTTTGCAATTTTACTCAACCAATCTTCTTTTATTAATTTTACGTATTGTTTAAAATTAGTCCATTTTTTACGGAGTTAACTGGCCATTAATCTTCAATTATTCGGGACAAATTTTAAACGGAACGTAGCGTAACGGACGTGTTAATGGCTAATTAATTACCATTAACACACCATTAGTGTGCCACAAATGCCATGATTAATACTAAGGGTTAATGGTGCAGGAATTACACATTTTTAAACTCCTTAGTTATAAAATCAAAGGGTCTCTCT